CTTATCATGAGAACAAACGTATTCACGTGACTTTAAGAACATTTATTACTTCATGGAAACACAAATGTTCTTACTCCACTGGCAGAAATGTTTGACTTAATTAGAGTCAAATTTTCAGACTAACAAGACAAATAATCTTACACATTCTGAAAACAAGATGATTATTCTTACACAATCAGTTCTTGTTTAGTAAATCAGTCTGAGAACAAGATCAAAAAGACTTCTTGGCTGATATAAGGTTTCAAAACGTGGTAAAATGGACAGTTTTTGCAGTGTTTACCTGTTGCATCAGGTTGAGGCTCTTCAGCAGAGTTCCTACAGATCCTTAAAACTTTTAAAAGTCTTTGAATTCATCAATTCAAAACTAAGGCCTTAATTAGCCTTAAAATGTCTTAAATCAATCTTTCGGAGGTCTTAAGAATGTTAAAACATGTTGGAATTCTTGTAATTCATCTCAAATATTAAAAGAATTGGTAACATTTATATTTATTTTTTGAATCATTTACAGATTGCCTCTCACAGCTCGTTGTTTTGTTTTAAAATAAACATTTGGCCAAAATTATTAACAGTTTTTTTCTCTTTGTGTTTATTGTGGAGTTGGTCTTAAATTTCATTTCAAGTTGTGTTAATTAGGTCTTAAAGTCTCAAATTTTACTTGTCTTAAGCTGTATGAACCTTGTTTAGAGACTTTTACAGTTTTATTCAGGTTCTGATTAAATCTTAATGGTTAACAGAGTAACTTAATGCTTCTGTTGACTTCCTGTCACGGTTTGTTTGTAAGATTCTGTTTTAGTTCAATTTAATGTTTAATTTTTTTAGTCATAACACTTCTTTTCATCGCCATCTCGTTTTTTAGGCTTTTTTTAAAGAAACAATCAGAAAAGTTTGATTTTTTTTCATCTTAAAGCTCATTAGGAATCATGTTTTTGGTGTTAAAACCTAAAGTAGCGTCTGTTAAACTGAACTGTTTGGTGTTTTTATAAATTCAGACACAGATCCGTCTCATGCCACGTTAGGACCCTACAGGTGGAGGTCTCTCAGGATGACCTTCCTGTCTGTTTGTAGGTAAATCAGATCAGCTTGTTTGGGACTTTGTGCTAATTACTTGTGTCATTATTGAAGGGAGCGAGCTGCGGTTGTGTTTACAGATCATGTTAGCGGGTCGCTGCAGAGCCGGACCCTCCCGTCTGGATCGCAGCTTGGCCCTGCAGATTTACGACGGGTCGTCCCCGATCGAAGCTGCTCACATTCCTAATTATTTTGGTTCTGGGAGCTGGAAGTGCCGCCTCTGGAGCCCTGAACGGGTTTAAAGTCGCTGCGGTCCGGCCGATGCCTATCTGCTGCCAGCACGAAAGCTAAACATCCTCCTCTCCAACGGCTTCCTTCCTCCTGCTCCTCCGGGGTTTTGGGCGGTGATCGGTGCCCAGCTCAGCGTGGGAATAACTCGCCTCTGTGCAGAGAATTAAAACTCACCGTTTACGTTTATCTAATGAACTAAGGGCGTTTGTTTCCTTTGAGATGATAAACCTCGTTTTTTAAATCCTCACAGAGAAAAGAAGCAGTTGATGGTGTGTGTTCCTGCAGATGTCATGGGACAGAACAGCTGGATGGAATTAAAGGCCCCACTGACACACAACGGTCCGAATCTGGATGGAAATACCTCTGTGGAGCAGAGGCTCTAAAAATACCGGGCGGGCCTGTAATTAGTGGTGTGTGTGCTGAGCAGCTGCTGTGGTTCAGGGCAATAAGTGTCTCTAATTACTCTGCTGTGTGTGCGTGCAGATACTGACTTATCGAGGCGTCTTATTTCACATAGTTATATTTTTTCGTTTGTTTTAAAGTGCAGGAAGTCAGTTTGTTGTGGATGAACATGAAGCTCCTTTAAATTCATTTTTGTTTGATCTTATTGGAAACAAAAAGCAGAACTTCAGCTTGTTTTTGTTGCAGCTGTAGTTTTTAATTTGTAAAGTTTTATCATGCAGCACAGAAGGAAATGATGTAATTAAATTTGTATTTTTACCAGAAAACTTAAATTATTTTCAAGATTTTCTCCTTGATCTCAAGATCCTGAAAAACCAAAATATGTAACAAGTCTTAACTTGAAAAACAGCATTTCCTGCAAAATGCTAGTGTGAATGCTGCTCGCTGAAAACTTCATGTAAAACCTGCTGAAGATATTTAATAGTGTTAATGTGAGTTCAATTTAAAAAGCTGAACAAAGCAAAAAAGCCTAACTTTGCAGAAAAACAGCAAAAGGGAGCAAAAATATAGTTGAAACAGCAGAAATCAGCTAAAAGCTGAATATAGCTGAAAACATCTGTAAGATGCATAAATACCTCAAATTAGCAGAAAAAACAAAAAGTAAAAAAAAATAATCTGAAGAATAACAGAAAGACGCAGATCTAAAGCTGAAAAATAATTTTAAAAAGCTAAAATTATCTTAAAATAAGCTAAAGGTAGCAGCCACACATTGTAATTAACACCCAGATAGTGATTTTTTAAATAAAAATAAATAAAATTATCAGAAAAAATACAAAAAAGTGATAATTTGTAGGAAAATAGCTAAAACAGCTGAAATTTTCAGTAAATAGTTAAATGTAGCCAGAAATTATTTTATTAGCATAAAGAAGCACACGTTTGCTGAACTTAAAAACTAAAATTTGCACAAGTTTAAAAAGAGCAGAACCAGAATAAAATGTGTAAAGATCTGTAAAGTTTTAGAAACATTGAAAACAGCTCCATTCATTTCAATGGCAAAAATGTAGAAAAATGAAATAGCTAAAAAAGTATAAAAAGCTGAAATACCAAAAGTAGTAGCTCGCCTCGCATGAAGGAGCTCAATGTTTTGATATACGAGTTGTTGAAGTAGCACAAAAAGTGTGGAACCAGTTAGATGCTGAAAAATGTACGGAAGAAAGATCTCAATAGTTGTGAAGTGTCACACAAATCTGACAAAACAAAATAATTAAATTGAATAAATAATAATAATTGATAAATAGTTTATTTATTATTTGATAAATATTTTAGGATGTGTGCATGTTAATACTTTTGTAAGATTATGTAAAAGCAAATTTATTTACTGGTTTAGTTTTTCTACCTGAAACAGCTCCGTTTAAGATCAGTAAAATAAAAAAAATTAGTTTTATTCAGTTAGTTAAAAAAAAAAAAAAACAGCTTTAGGTCCATAAATGTTATTGTGAGCTAATTGTTTTTTTTATGTTTTTTCCTCCTGATGATCATTAGTCTGTCTGAACTCTGTCCTCCTCTTCCTCACATCTTCAGTTCCTGTTCTAGAATGTAAAACCTTCATGTTTCTGATGTAAAACCTTCATGTTTTTGATATAAAACCTTCATGTTTTGATATAAAACCTTCATGTTTTGATATAAAACCTTC